GGGGGGGGGGGGGGGGGGTCGGCTGGGAGTTAGGGAGGTGGCAAACCACAGGATATTGTTGATGGTGCGATTGAACTGCCTTGCTGGTGCCAAAACGCCGCGCGTGGCGGCGTCTGCAGGCTGCCGCTGCTGCTGCAAATCCAAGCACGACGCCGCACAGCGCTCACTTTGGGTGGGCCTTGAGCAGGGGCAGGATGGCGCTGCCGCAGCCCGCCCCCAGCTCCAAGATGTGCGTCAGGCCCAAGGCCTGCCCGCCTCCAACACCGCCGCCGCCACTGCCGGCTTGGCTGCCGCCGCCGCCTGCTTGGCTGCCGGCACCGCCAGGCCCCTGGCCCTCGGCTGCCGGCGCCGCGAGGCAGGGGAAAGCGAGAGACAGGTACCTTCGCTCTCGAAAGAACTTTGCGGTGGGGTGGGCCTGGAAAAACACCTCCCACTCATTGTCCTCGGCCGCCGCGCCTTCGACCCCTCCGACCTCGCCACTGTGTGTAGCCGCCTCCAGCCGCGCCCCAGAGGCTGCAGGGCCGGCCCCTGCCAGTCCCGCACCATTAACCAGGGTGCGCCCGCCGCCCCTCCCCAGCGCCTCGGCGGCAGCGGCCTCGCCGGCCTCTGCAGCCGCCCGCTGGCGCAGCCGCTCCTGCTGCTTGCGCTGCTGCTTTAGATCTGCGTTCCTCAGCCGCCGTCGTGCGCGTGCGCTCAGGCGGGCGCTTTCGTCGCCTGCAGAGGGCCAGGCGTCGTCAGGGCCGTCCCTGCCGCTGGTGGACGCCTCGGCGCCGCTGCTGGTGCGGGCAGAGTCTTCCAGCCCCTGCTGAGTTTGCTGCTGCTCCTGCTGCTGCTGCTGCTGCTGACCGCTGTTGTCCTCCGCTGCCTTGCCGCCCCTGCTGGATTGCAAGGCCCGCGCAGCTGCCAGCTGGGCCTCCAGGATGGGCCTGCACTCCTGCACGTGTTCCTCCCACTCAAAATCATTGCTGCAGTATGGTTGTCCATGGTTTGCACAAGCAAGCACCAAAGTCAGGATGTGCTGGCCTCGCACCAATTGACCTGGCTCGCTCTAGCTGCCATGCACGCAGCTGACCTGGGATGCAGAGGTGCAGCACAAAAAGGCAGCGGAGCGCGCGGTGGCCGTAGTCGTGGCACGGCATGGTGCTCCGCGCACTCACCTGTGGTACTCAGATGCAGGATTCATTTGCTGGCCAATGTACCCGCTCCGCTTGGATCTCTGTTGAACAGGGGCAGCCATTGCCCTCACTCGGGTCATCCGCAGTGACAGGATGGATTGTCGTGCCATCAGGGATGTGATCTAAAAAGTATATACCAAAGCAAAGCTGACTGTGGATAAATAATTGGCACGAGCAGTAGCCGGACGAGCGCGATCTGGACGATCGCCAGCCCCTCACAACGTATGACAATGTAGCCTGCACAGAACGCATGAAGCGCGGCACATTCAACAGCAACATTGATGGGCCGCCTGTGGGGCTTCAGCCGCAACAGCCCGCACGCAGGCGAGCCACCCGCGCGCCCTCGCGGGCGACGATGGCTACTCGACTCTGCGCGCTCGCCCTCGCTGCCGCCACGATAGCTACCCTCACCTGGGCCACGGTCGCCCTCGAGAGCCTGCATCAGCAACTGCACGGGCAGGGCCCACCGCTGCTACGCTACTCGGTGCGGCCGGTGGGGCGCGTGAACTCGTCCTATGGCGTCGCCCAGGGCTACTGGCATTTGGAGGTCAACCACTCCTTTCCCGAGCCCGGCCTTGTTGCCAAGGCGCGCCTGCGCAAGGGCATAGGAGGCGCCGGCAACCGCAGCTGCTGGGAGGTGGCGCAGGGGCATGCAGAGCCGTACACGGATTTCTACGCTCCAAGGGGCTCACCAGTGCAGGTGCGGTTGCTACGCTTTACTCATGGGCTTGGTCGGCAGTGAGACGAGCATGCATGAGGCATGCGTCCAAGCATGCAGCATGCTTGGATGCATGCAACATGCTGCATGCGCTGGGCAAGGCGTCAAACACCCGCATTGGGCCCGGACTGCTGTGGACAGCGGACGGCAGAGGCCATGCCGCCTGCTCTCCCTGCCCCTCCCGGCTCGCAGCCCTGGCCTGGCGGCACCCCGCGGACTGCCTGGCGCTGGCGAGGCCGAATCCAACGGGCACTTTTTGACTCAGTCCCCTTCATCCTGCGCGACCGCCACGGGTGCCACCACTGCACGTTCGTGCTGCGCTATAAAGTGTTGGGGGGGAGGCTCTTCACCGACAGCAGCCGCAGGTGCCGGGGTCAGGGGCAGAGCGGGGCACAAAGCGGACAGCTGGCGCCCTAGCTTGTCCCTGCATGCTTGGCGCCTTGATCGCGTTGAGCTTCCTCTTCTCTGCCACCACTGCATCACCCATCGTGCCATTAAGCAACCACGTCTGTCCCTGCAGCGGACTTGCTGCCCTCATGCACAAATACATAAACCACCCACACATAATCATGCTTGCAGAAGCACACCATCCTGGGCACACAACGACAGACCCACACACACACATGCACAAAAACACGCACAAACACCCCAAAAGCGCACACATGATGCCAGGCATCGTGACCTCTCTGGCCAGGAGGAGGAGGCGGAGATGATAGAGGAGATGATGCTGGCGGCACTGCACCTCTTCAAGGTGTTGGGGCCGCTCCCCCCAAATCCCTTGTGCCCACGGCGCATCGACATGCGCTGCATGTGGGCAACCATCTGACTTGTGCATGTATCTTCCGCGGCGCCATGCGCTTCCAACCGTCGATGGCTGAGATTGGCTGAGATCCCCTGCACCCCCCGGCACGAGGGAAGAAGCTCGCCTGGACCGCCCCGCCACCCTCATTGGGCCAGGTGCCAGACGCAGACGTGCTGGTGCACCTGGGTGACGGCGCCCCCGAGGGCCTGCCCCTGCTGCAGGTGCGCGCGAGCAGCCTGCATGTCATATGCCTTCTGCTAGCACAGCTGCAGTCACAGCGCATGGTGGCGTGATGCGGGCGACACAGGGGCCCGCATGCGCCGCAACGAGCGCAGCAGCTGGACACGTGACCTGCCGTGCAGCGTGCTGCGTGACCCGAATGCACCAAAAGGCTCCTGCCTGCGCATGCGCGTGCCGCGCCGCCGCGCAGGCCAACATCGACCGCGGGGTCGAGGACGCCGGGTTTGCAATCCCCAAGCGCATGTGGGCAGACGCCCTGGGGCCGGAGCAGCTGAACGTGCTGCACGAGTGCCTTGAGGTGAAACACCCGATGCGCGTCGGCATGCACATCGTGTAGGTGCATGCCACTGATGCATGAGCGGACCATATGCAGCTGGTCTCACTGATTTCTTTCTTACCCCTGTGAGGTCGCTACTTCCGCTGCGCGTTGCTGCAAGCACAAGCCCTTGACCACATCCACCCTTGACCCCACCACCTCACAGGTCCGCTACCCGCGCGCCACGGCCGCCCGTGCCCCGCGCGCCGCATGGCGCGGCACCAACACCGACCGCCGCATCGACCCTATGGACGAGTCCAACGCGCTGGACGCGCTCCGCAGCCGCCTGCACCTCATGGGACGGTGGTACCCTGACATATTCGATGCCCACTACACAGATTTTGGGCAGCGGGCGTTTGACACGCAGGTGTGGAGCAACGGGCAGGCGGCGGCACTTGATGTACGGGGGTTGTGATGGGTGGGGGCGGGGACACGAGCCCCACCCCAAACCTGTCCTTTGAAACATCGCTGTCCGCGGTGGTGCTTCGGGAGGGCTTCTCCAGGCTTCAACTGCCTGTGGTGTGTGTGCTCACGGCCTTTGAAGCAAGCCACTGCTGCCGCCGATGACCTCAAGCGGTCTGTCGCCGGCGCCGCAGTGTGTGGATGCGATAATGCCGGCGGGGCCGCGTCTGGTACTGGAGGATTTCAATAACTTTGCCCTGATTGTTGACGTCGACGGCAACGGCTGGAGTGACAGGATGCGGCTGCTCGCGCACTTCAACACGCCCGTCCTGAAGCAGGCAGGTGCCGCTTTGGGATGTTTGACCGCCGTGCTGAGGTGTCGTGGTCTATGTGCCGCACGCATAAAACCCCACCGCATTCAGGATACCCTGCCTGCCCTCCTTCCCAGCAACCTGCGGGGCAGTCATAGAAGCACAGTGTACCCTCCACCCGTGCCAAGCTGCCGAACCCTGAATGTTTTAGTAACCGTACACCTCCCCCTCCTCGCCGCTAGGCCTCCAACCTGACAGGCTTTTACGAGCACCTGCTGGCCCCCGGCCACACCGTGGAGCACTTCTCCAACTCCCTCCACGACCTGCCGGTCAGGGCGGAGGCGCTGCTGCAGGAGTGGGAGAAGGACCCCGCGCGGTTGTGGCGCACAGCAGGCGCGTTGGCGCGGCAGCGGGGGCGATTACGACCACGGACGGGCCCGTGGATGCAATGGCAGTTGTGGCGACGCGGCTGCTGCACTCACGAGCCAGCAAACCTTATTGTGTTCCAAAGGCTTCAAGTTCACCCTCTTTCTGGAACCTCTTGATGCAAGTCAAGCTAGTATTATCTGGTTGCGTGAGGATGCAGCTGATTTTGATACGGCCTCACTGCCCACCGCCTTGCGTGCAACCACTCTGCCCTGCAGAGCAGCACCAGGGCGTGGCGGCGCTCGCCCTGAACCAAGTCGCCCTGCCGGAGGCCATGGCGGCCGCCATAACGAAGGCCGCGGAGCTCAGCGACTGGCAGGTGGAGATGCAGCCGGGTTACGAGGAGGTGCCCTTCTCGCGCTGCTGCACCAGGTCAAGGGGGCTGCCAGCAGGCTTTGTGGAAGCGCTGCGGGCGACGCAGCCAGGCCGGGGTGGTGGCGGCGGCGGTGCCGTCGGTGGTGGAGGGGGTGCGGGTGTTGGCAGTGGCGGCGGTGGCAGCGGCATTGTCGGCGGCGACGTTGGTGTTGGTGATGACGGGGTCGCTGTCGCAGCTGCTTGAGCGCTGGGCTGCTCACTCCACCATGGTTGTGAAGTCTTACAGCAACCCTAGTCCTGCCTGGCTGTTGAGTACAGGTTCTCATGCCAAGCTGAAAGCACGAAATTTGTTTTGGGTGTACGTGTGCATCTTTCTGAACCTGGACTGCTTGTAATACCAGTCATCCACTTTTCCATGCACTACGCAAGCACTCCTCATCCTTCATCCCCTTTCACTCGGCAAGTTCTACGTGTATGCAATCATAAGTTGAACAAGGTACACCCTAGTTCATGCAGGCAGCTGGAGGCATCAGCAACACACGTGGTTTTTATCTGGATTTAGGGTGGTGCATGTGCGGCACGGCAAGTAGTAGGGTGAATGTTGCCGGCTAATGAAACACAAGGGGCCAGGGCTGACAAAGCATTTGAAGGCTGCAGCAAAGGGGAGGGAGAAGCAGCAATGACAGCAAGCATGTGGCAGTGCGCAAAGCACAGAGAGTTGGCAGGGGCAAGAGGGATGGCGTGTGTATGTAGGTGGAGTAGGTGCGAGTGTGCGTGGGTGTGTGTCCGCGCGCGTATGTGTACTGAGGGCAAGTGTACCGCTGACTGCGTGTCCCCCAATCCTGGAGTGATGTGCTTGGTTCTGGTCTGATGGTTCAGGCAGTCAGGACAACAGTTCATGTGCAAGTGGATGACCGTGTCAGGCGGGGCGCACATCTGGCGGACGTCCTGGCTGCACGACGGCAAGCACGCTTGAAAAATGGCAGGCAGGCTCCTGGACCTTTGAATTGTAATGGAGACTCACATACTTTATTTGCCGAGTTTTCAGAACCTTCACGTCTCCTCACTTCCATAATGACTACGCACGGCAGTGAGCAGAGTTAGTCACCCAGCACGTAGCAGCAACCAGCCATCGGCGCAGCTGACCTCCTACCAAGTTTGCATGTTGAAGCGAACCTAGTGGCGCACGCTGAATCCTACGATGTTACAAATTACCGTGTGATTTAAAACACAACACGTCCCTCTACGGCATTCGCCCTGGACGTGCATGCCGAACAGTAGTTTCAGAGGCTGGCATACGGTAGTTGTATTAATATGCAAATTTACTGAATAGTTCTACGAGATAGATTTACGCGCGGCGTTCAAGTAGCTTGGTGGCCAGCCCCTTGCAGCGCACATGGCATAGCAGTGAAGGCTGGCAGTGACGTTGATTGTAGCGCAGCGCAGTCTGCGCCATCGCCTGCCAAAGGCCTTTGGCTGTTCAGCATTGAAAGTAGCTCTCAATTGCATGAATGGCGTCCCGTCTGTGTTCGCTCGTCCTCGCCATGGCCACGATAGCTGCCCTTGCGTCGGCCGCGCTCGCGAGTGACAAGTCCCCGCTGATGCGCCTGCACCCTGTGCGGACGATGGGGCGCGTCAACTCTTCCTACAACGTCGCTCAGGACTACTGGCATATTGAGACCAACCACACCTTCCCCGAGGTCACCGACCACCGCAAGGGGCAACTGAAAAGGGGCGATGGTGGCGCCGGCGACCGCAGCTGCTGGGTGGTGGCGCAGGACCATGTCGAGCCCTACAGTGATTTCTTCGCCCCCAGGGGCACGCCGGCGCAGGTGCGGTTGCCACGTCCTCCGCAAACGCCTGGTCGGCGGTGAGAAGCGCATGCACTCGCCACTCGCTCAGGCGTGGTGGGATGCATGTGGCACTCTGCACCTGCCGGGCGACTCGGTCCCTAGACTTCCAAGGCATCTTGGCTAGCGGGCAGGAGAAGGCATGCCCGCTACCATTCCCGCCACCTCCACTCGCAGCCGTACCCCGGCGGCGCCCCGCGTTTTGCCTGGCGCTGGCACGGCCGCATCAGCCTCCAGCTCTTCAACTCTGTGCCCTTCGTCCTGCGTAATCGCTTCGGCTGCAACCACTGCACACTCGTGCTGCGCTACAAAGTGTTTGGCGGCCGGCTCTACACGGACACCAACCGCAGGTGCTTGGGACAGAGGCCAAGCGTGCCACGCCCAGGGCGGACGACCGACCCACCCTTTCCTTGTCCAGCTTGCGGCCACTTGCTGGGTGCCTTCAACCACTTGATTTGGTCCCTTTGCTGCTCCGCAGCCGCAGGATCATTCGGCAACAGCCTGGCATCTCAAGTTGCATTGGTTTGGTCCCCCCACACATTGACAACAACACGTACGCGCCCTCTCACACGTGACCCACCCACACACCACAACGTATATGTACGTGCACATCATCACAAATACGATACCAGGCATCGTGACCTCTCTGGCCAAGAGAAGGAGGCTGAGCAGATAGAGGAGATGATGCTGGCAGCACTGCACCTCTTCAAGGTGTGGGCGCCGCTCGCGCCGCTCCCCTGCTGCCACACACGGAACGTTAGCATTCCCTGCACCCCTGGCTGGCAACAGCCTGGCTAATGTATGCAGTGGCTTGTCTGCAGACCCTTGCTCTTGAAGCAGAATCTGGATGTCGCAACCCACGGCAGCCGCGTGCGAGATGCCCCGCCAACCCTGACTGGCACCCCCGGGCCCAGGTGCCAAATGCGGACGTGCTGGTGCACCTGGGAGATGGCGCCCCCGAGGGCCTGCCCCTGCTGCAGGTGCGAAGCACCCGCCACGCGCGCTGCCCTTTTGAAACACTGCCGCGTCTTGCAATGCGAGGCAGGCTGCTGCACCCTGCATACCGTAGTACGTGTGGCTCATGCGCAAACAAGCGGCTGCTCCCGTGCGCCGTGCCGCCGCGCAGGCCAACATTGACCGCAGGTTTGAGAACGCCGGGTTTGCCATCCCCAAGCGCATGTGGGAGGACGCCCTTGGGCCGGAGCAGACGAGCGTGCTGCACGAGTGCCTCGAGGTGGGTTGGACGGCGTAACGCGTCCTGCTTGTCGTTGTCTGCGATCCACATGCGGCTTGCCTTACATCGAATGCACTTAGTGGCTTCCCACCTCTCCACACGTGCAGCACACCGTTCACCCTCTCCTCTCCCCTGGACGGTGCCAAGAGCGCTGGCCCTCTCTGCAAACACTACTTGTCGACCTAGTTCGCTCGCTGCACCACCACCACAACGCAGACCCGCTACCCTCGCTCGGACAAGCGCGCTGCGCGTGTTGCGTGGCGCGGCACCAACACCGACGTCCACATCGACCCTACAGTCGAGTCCAACGCGCTGGATGTGGTTCGCGGCCGCCTGCACCTCATGGGGCGGTGGTACCCCGAAATCTTTGACACCCACATAGTAGGATGGGTGCAGTCAAAGTTCACAACGCAGGTGAGAGGGAGGGAGGGAGGCGGTAGCAAGTTTGAAGACAGGGTTTTAAGGCGGCAGCCATTCAGCTGTTTCGCCCTTGTTCAGTGTAGCAGCGACTTGCAGGCCGGCCTTTCAAAGGCACTCAGCAGGACTTGCAGGCTACGACTGCCTGCTGTGCATATTATTGAACGTGACACACTCTGCTGTCATTGCTGACCTCGGGCGCTGCGTCTCCTGTGCCCCAGTGCGTGGCTCAAGTCCTGCCGACGGGATCGCGCGTGCAGCTGGAGGATTTCAATAACTTTGCACTGATTGTTGACGTCGACGGCAACGGCTGGAGCGACAGGATGCGGCTCCTCGCGCACTACAACACGCCCGTCCTGAAGCAGGCGAGCGCCGTCCCCGAGCAGGGTGACGAGGGCCGTCGGAGTTGAGAGTTGCCCAGGATTATGACCAGAGCAGGGTACTTTCCAGCAGCCGCCCTGCAATGCACCCAGGGTCGCCCTAGCCCGTCAGTTTGCTGCAGGCGCGGCCTGCCGATTGCCGGCTCACCCACCTGCCATAAACCTCCCCTCCCCCCTCGCGGCTAGGCCTCCAACCTGACAGGCTTTCACGAGCACCTGCTGGCCCCCGGCCACACAGTGGAGCACTTCTCCAACTCCCTCCACGACCTGCCTGTCAGGGCGGAGGCGCTGCTGCAGGAATGGAAGAAGGACCCCACGCGGCTGTGGCGCACGGCAGGCGCGCCGGCGCGGCAGCGGGGGCGGTCCCGCGCGCTGACGGGCCCATGGATGCAAAGCCAGTTGCGGGGGCATGGCTGCTTTTTATCTATCCCAACTTGTTTTGATCTCATTATTTTGAAACCCAGACCAACAAAGCCAAACCAATAACGCACTATTGCTTGCACCTGCCGCCATCTGCACCAACACCGCCCTGCAGAGCAGCACCAGGGCGTGGCGGCGCAATCGCTCAACCAAGTCGCCCTGCCGGAGGCCATGGCGGCCGCCATAACCAAGGTCGCGGAGCTCAGCGACTGGCAGGTGGAGATGCAGCCGGGCTACGAGGAGGTGCCCTTCTCGCGCTGCTGCCACAGGTCAAGGGGGCTCCCGGTAGGATTTGTGGAGGCACTGCGGGGGACGTGGCCGGAAGGGCGCGCCGGCGGCGGCGGCGGTGGTGGCGACGGTGGCGGAAAGGCGGGTGCAAAGGCTGACTGAGGAGGGGTGGGCCGCTGCCCGTGCTGCTGGCACACCAAGCGCTTGGTAGCAAGTGCCTCCATCCCATCATAAACCCTCAAAATGATTATTCCTTGCACCAGTCAGTTGTTTCCCGCAAATGCACACTACAAACCAGTCAATTGTTTCTCTCAAATGCACACTACAAACCAGGCAGCACGCATGCTACTGACTCTCTAATGCATATGCACATGCCTCATGTACATTGTTTGATTTCTATGTTACATGGGTGCGTCCAAGCCGGGCCAGGCAGCTTCTGTGTCAGCAGCAACAGCTGCGACAGCCGCATCCCGCATGATTGGGGCAGGCGTGAACCCGTGTCAGTCCAGCCAGGCGCCGTGCTCTTGCGCCAGGTGTGCCAGGGCTGACGCCTCAACCCCAGGGTACACCGCCCTCAGCTCCAGCACGCGCCCCAGCCCCTCCCACAGCCCAGGCGCCGCTGCGACCCCCGCCGCGCCGACCCCGCCGCCGTCGCCGGCCCGCTCCAGGCCCTGCAACGCCGCCGCGACCCGCGCGCCCGCCGCGGCGCCGACCGCGCGCTCCCCAACAGGCCGCAGCAGCGCGTCACCGGCCGCGGGCCCGAGCCGCGCGAGCGCCTCATCCAGCAGCTGCCCGCCATCCTCCGCCGTGGCCGCCTCCGCGAGCGGCAGCAAGCAGCAGCCCTGCGCGTACGCGCTCGGGCCGGGCCCGGCGCCGGCTCCTGCGTCTGTACCCGCTCGGCCGCCGCCGCAGATGCAGGCGGACGCAAAGCTGAAGGCCGCGTCGAGGCGCGGCTCGTCGCGTTTCTCAAGGGCCGCCGCCACGTCATCCCACAGGTCTATGCAGAACGCGGCCAGGCTGGTGTGCCACCCCGCGTCGTACAGCGCGGGGAGCAGCTGCTTGGCGGCTGCCGCCCAGGTGCGGCTGGTGATTTGGGGGAGGCCGTGAGGCGCGGCGGCGGCGGCGCCGCGAGCAGTGCGGCGGGGCTTGCGCCGCGGGAGGGCGGTTTCCTGCCCCTGCCCCTGCCCCTGCCCCTGACCTTGGTCCTGCTGCAGGTGGCCGTCCAGCTGCCGCTCGCCCTGCTGCCAGAGGGGCGCCGCGGGCTCCAGCCCCTCCCAAGGC